GAAGAAGACAAAGGAGATGATTGTGGACTTCAGAAGGAACAAAAACATCTACACCCCCCTGAACATAAGAGGATCTGCAGTGGAAGTGGTCTCCAGCTACAAGTACTTGGGTGTACACATGAATGACAACCTCAGCTGGAGCAACAACACCACCAGCCTGATCAAGAAAGCTCATCAGAGACTCTACTTCCTCAGACGGCTAAGGCGAGCTGGTCTGGGAAGCTCAGTCTTCACCTCCTTCTACAAGTGTGCAGTGGAGAGCATCCTGTGCTCCAGCATCAACGTGTGGCATGGAGGCTGCACAGCTGCAGAAAGAAAAGCTTTGCAGAGAGTGGTGAAGGCTGCACAGAAGACTGTCGGAGTCAGCCTCCCCACCATCACAGACATCTACACCTCTAGATGCAGGAAGAGGGCTACCTGCATCATGAAGGATCTCACTCACCCAGCACACACACTTTTTGCCTCACTCCCATCAGGAAGGAGGTTGAGGAGCATTAAGTGTAGAACCACTAGACTGAGGAACAGCTTCTACCGTGAGACTGTTAGACTCGTGAATCTCTAACTAGAATAATCACTGTGAAAAACCACATCATGTTACTGCTGATCTGTTTCATGTTGCTGCTGATCTGTTTAAATGTTGATGTGTTCATGCGTGCACATCCGCTCACACAGACTCATGTTCATGTTTGTGCTGATGTTCAATGTTTTTATGTTATGAGGGCTCAGTATATATTTAGTTGATGTTTTTCTTAGTTCATATCTTAGATCCAATTACTGTTTTTCTTATACTTTTTATTGTTGGATGTAACTGAGACCCTGTGTACATAATTTCGCTCCACCACATGTACATGAGGTGCGAATGACAATAAAGAATCTCTGACTCTGATTTGTTGGATAAGTGTGTGTGTTATAAAATACAAAATCAATAAGAAATACTGATTAAAAAAATGCATTTTCTGGATCCTATAATAATGTCGTAAAATAAAGATTTTCTTTCAGCAATGTTTTATTTTTTACCTCTATCTCGCTATGTATTTCTTTATATTAGCTCACTCTATGATGCTTTGCTTTTTACGTTTGAAAACAATAAAAAAAAATCAAGTAAATAAATAAATAAATAAAATCCCATCCATGTCAGACCATCGAACCACATGTTCCAAGTTGGACAGAAAACAAGGCTTCATTTGCAGCTACTAGACCTGAAGGGTCACAAAATACTTGACGTTTTTAACACTGGACTTTTTAAATTGTATTTTTAAGCAATTATCAGGAACACTAATGGTCATTAAGTTAAATGACCTTTGTGGAGTTAAATCAATTTGAATTATCAAAATTTGAAGATTAATGTGAATATTTGCTTTGAAATCTTTACACCTCAATCAGTTCTGAATTACATTCAGCAATATTCTGGTAAGAGCATCAGCTAAAGAAAGGTTGTGTATCAGAGTTATAGTTGTGAACTGCTGTGAAATTTAGGAGTTTGCAGTGGTTTTAAGATGACAGCAATCGATTCTGGTTTTGAACTTAAATTGATGAACCCTCAGCTTATCTGTCGATCAATAAACCATCTATAATGGGTACGATATTTGTTTATTTCCACAACAAAAAGATCTGAACTATCCATTTAACAACTTGTACCTTTTAGTTCCTAAAAGGGAGCCACCCTGTCCCGTCCATCCTCCGACATCACCCCATTTCACCTCCTTAATCTGAAGGAAGAACAAGAGATTAAATGTCACATTAAATGTTAAATGGTTTCGCCGTGACCTCACTGACCTGTTTCAAAACAAATCAATAACTTTATCATTAAATATTCAAACTGCTTCCTGTTCTCATGTATGGGCTACAGCAGCTCAGTTTCCAGCAGATCATCAGACCTCAGAATTACAGGAATTTGCTGCACAAACTCTTAATTACACAGCAGTGGAGTCGGTGGGATTTAAATGACTTTATTCCTCCATTAGGTTTAAACTTCTTAAAGTTACAGTCTGAATTCAACCGGTCGGAGTTTAAACTGGTCATTAGAGACACGCTGATGAAGACAAAGGTTCATTCTCGTGGTTTGAAGGAGGAAGAAACCAGTTCCACTGGAAGAAGAACAAAAACTAACAAGGGAATTCATATTTCCTGTGTGAATGCATATTTATGAATGATTTTTCTGAAACCAGCTGAAAACTGTTAATGTGAGCTGAATTTGAGCAGCTCATAAAAGTAGCAGATAAAACAGCTGAAATGTGTAGAAAATGCTGAAATAGGCAGAGAACAGATTACAAAAATAAAAAAAGATGAAAGGAGCATAAAAAGTAGAACTTGGAAAGAATCACAACAGACACAAATGAACAAAGACTAGCAGAAAAAGATGAAAATTTGCAGAAAACCCTGTAGAAAGTAAATGAAAAAGCAGAAGAAAGCTGAATTCACAAGGAAGAAGCTGAAAGGAGCTTAAAAAGTTGTAAACAGCTCAAACAGTTTGAAGGACGTGGAGATTTTCAGTGAGATGGCTGACGAGCTGAATATTTCAAAAAGTGAAAAGTGCGGAAAGACCAACAGTCCCAGCAGGAACGTCCTGAACGAGCCGAACGTTTTGATGCATGAATTGTTGAAATAGAAAGTTACATGTCAAAAAACGCACAGAAGAAAAATGGATCTGAATAGAGTGAATGATTTAGAAACATTCATAATCTGAGTCCAATCTCAGATTACATTACAATTTCACCTTTTAACATCCCACAAGCACCTCTCCTGTATCCAGAACTCTGTTTAGGAACGACCGTGGAGAGAAGTCATGCTAATCAAACATCGATCACTAAACCAGTAAATGTTCTGCTTCCATCCAGTGAGTGTTTGAGGTACTGCAGCTGCTCAGGTGGCGCTCAGGAAGGAAACTGATTTACATTAATCTGCACAGATTATCCCCTGACTTTCCCTAAGTATTCTTCAGAGACCAAGCTAACGGTGATGGCTCACTGAGTGTGACGCTCACCAAGCCAAGCCAGTTCTCTCAGTTACTGAAGTGAAGAACGCCTGTCAGGCGCCATGTTCTTTCATCTTGGGTGTAGTTCTGAACAGATTAAAAAACTACAACACGATCAGCTCCTGATGACGGGCACCACTCACCTGTCCTTTGTAGAAGCCCTCAAAGCCGTCGCTGACAGCGAACATCTTGTGTCCCTCAGTGATGCCCACCCTGACGGCTGATCGGACGGCAGCGTTCATGCCTGCTGCAGGGGCTCCCACATTCAGCACCGCCACGTTGAAGTTGCTCTGCAGGACAAACAAACATCAACCTGTAATCAAACATCAACCTGTATCAAACATCAATCTGTATCAAACATCACAGCTCAGCTAATCCCACTGACGCCGTCAGTCACGTTCTATAAGAAGGATAATATTATAATAGATATATTATAGATAATATTATAGAAGGATAAATGGCTTCTGGTGTACTCAGCTCAACGCAGGCAGGGGGGGCTCAACCCTAAGGTGAACAGACAGAACAAAGCCTTTACACCTTCATCATCATCATCAGTCTGGAGCCACAGAGGCCCGACTGACATGGAGGACCACACAGACTAACGTTACTGGTTGTGACAAAGAAACACAGGCTGGAATTTAACTGAACGTTAACATCGTTAACATAAATTTAAAAAGTTGGACAGGTGTTTTTTACCTGTACAACAAACTGAATCCACGCTGGACTGACGTCTGTCCCAGTCTACTAAGACACGACAACTTTTTATACATTTATTGGGGGCCGAGATGGTGTAGAGGCAGGGCAGCCGGCTTGGGACCCGAGAGTCCCAGGTTCGATCCCCAGTCACTGCACATCACGTGGCGTCTCTGGGCAGCACGTCTAATTCCCAAAATGTCCCCCGGGCGCTTTCAATAGCTGCCCACTGCACCACCTGGTGGTGGATGGGTTAAATGCAGAGACTAATTTCGCCATTGTATGGAAACATACAGTGCTGACATTGTGATGACATTATTATTATTATTATTATTATTTTCTAGTTCTTGCACCACACAGCTGTCCCGCAAATCTGGCCACTGTTGTGTGTGCGTGTGTGTGTGTGTGTCTGTGTGTGTGTGTGCGTGAGACAGACACACTTACAGTCGGGAGCTCAGATTCTGGTTTGCGATGAGCCAGCAGTTTGTAAGTCCTCAGGTTGTTTTCAAAGCTCCTGCAACACAAGTCAGTGTGAGTCAACACGTTGATGCTTTTAGATTATTGGAGGGCTTTGAAGAGCCCTCATTGCTGTTTAGCTAAATAAATAAATTTTACATTTTGATTTTCAATGTGTTACTTCTCATGAAGCTTTAGAAATAATCTCTTTCAATACATACAGGTAGTGTGACTTTTATTTTTTGGAGGCAACCTCTTTTTGGCCAGACAGTGTATTAAGGTTTTATAAAACCCTGCCCATGCTCTTGTAATATTCTAACAATGTTTCTAAACTCTAAATGCTATAAAAAAAAAGCACAGCATGTCATGATTTCAGCTCCCTGCCACGCCCACTTATCCACTGCAACCACATTCATCACCTCCCTGTCTCCCTCCTTCTGGGTAAATAAACAATTTAAACTTAAATACTGTTAATTTTTTTTTATTAAAAACCCATGCAGAT